AGGTCTCCCCTGAGCCTTCTCTTTTAGAACAGACCTGTCATCTCCCCCTTGAGGGATGTAGGAGCTGGAAAGACCCCTGCCATCACTGCCCTCTCCCTCATCTCTGCATTGATGAATTCTGTTCTGAATCCCACCAGGGCTGTGTTAGGACAGTTGTTTGCAAAACCCAGAACCAATAGGAAGGTTACCAGGTCAGAAGAAGGTTTGTGTGTTTAATGCGACCCTTTGCAGGTGGAAGGGTGTGAAATAAGGGGAACAGATCCTTGCTGTTTTTGCATTGATCTCCAGGATTTTGGATATCTATGTGACACTGCTGATCACCATTTATCTGTCCATCTGGTCGCGTTCCAGTCCACATTTGTAATACTCGGGACAAAGTTGCTGAGCATGGCAGAAAGATCGGAGACTTGAGAATTGGTTTCACGGTGGTAGTGGTATCCTGTCCAGCACTCAGCCAACGTGTGTCATACCCTGTGCTGTGAGTATAACAAAAGTTGTGTGACAGGTCCCAGGAAGAGAATAAGGTGAGCTGGTGCAGGTAGGCTCCTACGCACGCTGCTCAGGGTTAGCATCACCTGGTATTGGGAGCAGATTGTGAGAAAGCATGACCCAAAATGTTTGGGGTGAGCTTCCTCTGGGTTGTGTGTGGGTTCCGAGACATCACTGTTTTGTAGTAAAAATACGCATACGAGGCTGTATTGTGCCTGACAGAGCGGTGGGGGTACACAGCATGGTGCTGGGGCTGAACGTTGCCGAGACGTGGCTTGCTGGGGCAGCGGTCAGCATCGAGAGCCCTTCTAGGGGTATGTGAGACCTCTGCCAGCTAATTCTGTTCTAAGAATTCATCGAGCAGCTCTGGTGGTGCAGAAGGAGAAAAAGTGTTTCTGGTTTGCTCTTCTGTCGTCAGTGTCAGGCCGTGTGAGAGAAGCTGGATGCGTGGTTTCACCGCAGGACGTAAGTGAACACCAAGGAGGCAGGATCAACAGTTTCACAGCCGAGGCTTGAGATTTGTTTGCGTTTGGGTCTGACGTCTGTGTTTGTTCTGTTGGGTAGCACGGAAGCTGGATTCTGTTTTACTCCTCTCAGCATTATAAAACGATTACCTTGAGAAATGAGTTGTTGAGCTTACCCTATGAAGTGTGTTGCTGGCTGCCCCTCAAAGTTGCTTTCCAGCTGTTTATTATGAGCTGACAGTAGGAAGTAGTGTGCTATCAGCCCGAAGCTTAGATTTGCTCATCCCCTTGGGTTTTTTCTGTATTTGAGGTGTATAGAGCTGTCCTAAACTCTGTAGATTTCCTTGTTCTGTAGGTCAGTGGATGTTAAGTATTGCTCTGCGACTGGTGTTTCCTTACCCATTAGCTCTGTGGTCAGAACAGGAATCAGCAGAAGGAAAAATAGCTCTGTTCATTCCAGATTTCCTTTGGAGAGTGGGAGACCCATGCTGTCAATACCTTACAGGCAATTCTGATTTCCCATGTGGAAAACAAGCACAAAGGATGTAAGTGAGAGCACTAAGCTAATTTTTCTTTTGAAACAGAGGCAGAAGCCCGGTGGTTTCCAGTGTAATTTATGTAGGAACAGAAAGAATTCATTGGAAAGTGGGGTCTGGAGAGCTAGCAGATAAGGAGTAATACGAGGAACTCGGGCTTCCCTTGTTTGTTTTGATGATTGTGTCCTTGTGCTTTTGAAGACCAGAGGGGAAAACCCAGCAAAACCCTGAAAAACCTGTGGTTATTAGTATGACTGCATGGCTATTTCCTTTAAGCTTTCTTTCCCTTCTTGAGAACCTCCCCTCTCTCCCTGCGCCCAAGCAGGACAGCAGCTTGTCATTCCCAGCAAACCCCAAGAAGCTCATGCACCTTGTCAGTCCTCAGTCTGACTCCCACATACAACCCTGAGAATCGGCGAGCTTTTCCAGACGATGCCTGGGCCAAACTAGCGGGAACGTAGAGTTACTGTACTCCTTCTGCCTGCCCTATCTCATCTCACGTAGATTTTGAAAGCTGGTGTAAAACGACCTTGCATGTTTTTCTGTTTCTTCTCTTTGATCCAGCCTGTTTCTTGTGCGTTGTCTTTAATCACGGCCTTTGCTTCACTTAGCCTCAGCCCTTGTTCTTCTCACAGGCAGCAGTTTTCTTGTGTGTTTTCAGTATCAAAGCTCTCTCCTAATAAAACCTCATTCTCTGCTATGAGATGGTAATAACAAAGATATTAGCATGGTAACTTTATAGTATGATGGCAGTGAAAGGGTGTATGAAAATGGAGCTCTGTAAAGAGAGCAGGAAACGGGGCAAACCATTGGATCCTCACAGACCTAACATTAAAAAAAACCCTGAATCTTTCCCTTGAAAAGCAGGAAGATTTGCCTCCCGCAGCGGCCTGTGAGAGGGGAGCGCTGGGCAAAGACCCACAAGGTGGTGCTGGCAGGCAGCAGATGGGGAGGAATGACTTCTGATGCCAGGCAGGTATTGCGGGGTTCATGCCGCCTTGTGCAGAGCAACACGGTGTCCATAATGCTGTGTTTCAGAACAAAGCTTACTCTGCAGAGATTGACATGGTTTTCATTTTGGTGGGGGGAGCTGACTTTGATCATAGCCAGCAGAACCCCTCGCCTTGCAGCAGCTGTTAATTTTGGTAGGGATGGACGTAGCGAAGCCCGCGTGTGGCCAGGCGTGGTGCGCAGGCATTACGTGGGGTAGTGGTTGTGCTTTCTGAACTGGGGAGGGGGGTGTGGGGGGAAGACGGGGAGTGGAGAACCAAGCGGGGAGGCGATTTGCCTAAAATTCGTGTGGCTGGTCTGTGGGCGAGCTAGGACCAGAGCTCAGCGTCTTGGTTTCTGACCTGTAGTTCACCATTCTTATATGTTTTGTCATAAGCTCTTTTCACGCAGCCTGTGACGGTACAGCAGTGGAGGGCGATGGAAACTAACTTTTTTTTTTTTTTGGTCCAGGTTAAGTCGTGTTTTCTGACATTCGAAGAGCAAACAGCACTGTGGCTCCATGAACTGCGAAACCTCAGGAAGTGTGGCAGCCCTCCCGACCTCCGGCTTTGCTTCCTTACTGTGACATTCTTCTCCGGACCCTTTGGTTTCATCCCCACGGTGTGCGCGGTGTCCTGCCTCCACGTGGGAGCGGAGGAAGCAGTTTGTGGATCAGGGAGAGCCATGGCCTTGAGCTTGTATATCTTTCACCTCTGCTATAAGTTCAAAGTGTTGGTGCTTGTCACTTTGTGCTTGACGGTGCTGTGGGCCACGTGCAGTTACTTTGTGGACTACAGACAGGAGATTTCTAAAGCTAAGAGCATGGTGGAGAATTTCAGGAAGGTAGCTAGCCTGGAGGACAGTCAAAAGGAAGAGAAGAGTGAATCGGTGGCGAAAGTTCCCACGGTGAAGTCATTTCAGGGTCACTGCCCATCTCTGTCTCCCTACCTGCGTAAGTGATGGCGCTTTCCCCTCCGTGCTAACAAGTTGCATCTCCTTCGGTACTGCTGACTTGGTTTTCTTCCTAGCTGTCGTACAGGTAGACGCTTTCCCTGTGAAACAGATGCAGCACAACCCGTTGCGGCGAGGAGGCGACTGGTGGCACAGCGTGGCTGTGCTGGGCGTGGGTGGGAGAGCAGCCCGTGCGGTGCCGTGCTCTGCGTTTGTAGCTAAAGCAGCGTTGGTCACGCGCCCGTGACTTGGCTACTGCTGAACAGCGCTGGGGCTGTGTCTCTTTTCCCTGGCTCCTAAAACCTGGTAGGGTGGGGGTGGGCAGGAATTTGGGAGTGGACAGAGCTGGGACAGTTGACTCCACCTGACTGAAGGAATATTCCATGTTGTATGACCATACCATTTATCATGCTCAGCTCTTAGCTCAGGAAAGGGAGGAAGGGAGGGTTCACGGTTCTGCTGTTTGTCTTCCTAACAACTGCTGTACACGCTGAAGTCCTGCTTCCCAGGATGTGGCTGGACATCTGCCTGCCAATGGGAAGGAATTAAGGCATTTCTCCTTTTTTTTTTTTTGCCTTGCTCACGTGCCCAGCTTTTGCTTTTTTTTTGTTAAATTAATTTTCTCACCCACAAGTCTCTTCACCTTTCCTCAATTTTTTTGCCTTTTCATTATTAGATGTACTTTTTGTCTCTGTCTTGACAATGAAGGACTTCAAAGCTGCGTTGAGGTTAGCACTACTTATGGTGTAGGTTCCAGCAGGTGGCTGTTTCCTTGGCCTGGCCGTTTTTATTAGTCCACCTCTTTTTGTCTTTGTATTGCAAGCACCACCAGGCTTCTGCTTTGCAGTACCGTGTCATTGTTATCTTCCTCTTCCTTTCTGTGAACCTGATTAGGGATTTGTTGGGGAAGCTGGATTCCTCCCTCCTCCCCTGCGTAATCCAAAAAGCTGCTGTCTAGCTCACAGGATGTCACCCGTGCTCACAGGATGTCTTTGCTTAAGGAAATGACACTGTGGCTGTAGCCCTCACAGTTACCCGCCCTGTTCTCTTCCATGGGTTTGCTGTGTCCGGAGGGGCTGGGAAAGGCAGGGTGGTGTGGTTTGACCCCAGTCAGCAACTAAGTGCCACACAGCTGCTTGCTCACCTCCCCCAGTGGGGTGTGGAGGAGAATTGGAGGAGGAAGGTAAGAAAACTAGTGGGTTGAGATAATGATGGTTTAATAATGGAAAATAAATTAAATACTACTACTACTAATATATAATGTCAAGGAGAACAACAACCACCACAAAAATGATACAAACCACTTGCCACCCAGTGCCCAGCCACTTCCTGAGCAGCAAACCCCCTGGCCAACAGCCCCCCAACTTACATACCAAGCACAGTGTCGTATGGCATGACATATCCCTTTGGTCAGTTTGGGTCAGCTGTCCTGGCTGGGTGTCCTCTTGCCCACAAGAAGCTGGGAACATGGGTGCAGTCTGAGAAACTGAAAAAGTGTTTGGCTTGATGTAAACATTGCTTAGCAGGAACTAAAACATCAGTCTGACTGACATTCTTCTCAGCACAAATCCAAACCATAATTTCTTTCCTAGTGGCTAATATGAGGTTATCTCAGCCGAAGTGTGTATACAGGGAGGCCAACTGGGGCTTGAACCTGGGTTTCTTACTCTGGCTACAGAGTGCCTCATTAGGTAACTACATTAGCCACAACCAGAAACGGCTTGGGAAAGCTTCTTCTGCTTCTCCTACAGGAGGTGCCAGCAAACTCACCTTCAAAGCATCTCTCACGCTAGAAGAAGTGCAAAAGGAGAACCCTCAGGTAGCCAAGGGTCGATACCGCCCTACAGAGTGCTCAGCGTTGCAGCATGTGGCCATCCTCATCCCGTACCGCAATCGAGAGAAGCATCTGCTGTACCTCCTGGAGCACCTCCACCCCTTCCTCCAGAGGCAGCAGCTGGACTACGGCATTTACGTTATCCACCAGGTGAGGCAACCGCAGGGATGTGTTTGGGTGGGGATGACGTCAGTCCAGGGAGAGGCTCGCTGCTGCTGTCTAATGTCACTCCTCCACGCCTGCTCCAAACGCTTCCGCTTGTTGAGGGATGCGGTGGTGCGTGCAGCAATTGCTGGTAGCACTGCAGGATCCCAGCTGCCGTTGGCAAAGCTGGGAAGTATCAGCAGTGTCTTGGACTGAGAAGTGGAGCCCAGTTAAAGCAACGTACTATTGCTCAGTTAGCATTCAAGGTGAGCGTCTTCTGCGTTACTAGCACAGCTGATTTCTCCTGCAGCATACACGTACATAGCAGGGAGGACGTGTCTTTAAATTCGGAGTCCTTTGGGTCACACACCTTAGTTTGTATCTAGATTTTCTCTCCCATCTGGTTGCCGGCTTGTCATGCTTAGTAAGCTGTGTGTATCGTGGTTGGATTTCCTTCGGCTGTCTCGAACTAAACATGCTAGCTGCTGCTTGTAGGGCCTTTACTTGCCTAGTGAAATTCTTTATTTGCTGCCTTTTTAGCTTCATGGAGTCGGCGGCTAAAATCTGAGCATAGAGACTTGTGCCACGTTGCCTTTCATGTAAGGTGCCTGTGTTCTGAAGGAAGCTAAAAGCAGTGTAGATTTCTCTCTTGTAATATGTTGTCTGTTTCTTGATCTCTTGTTTGCTTTCTTTTACTGTTGTTTACTTACCTATTCTGCTTTGACTCTAAACAGGTTTTTCAGACAGCAGGAGAAAAAGTTGATGGATTGATAGAGTTTCTCTTCCCTTCTGTTTAAAGAGGCTGGAGTCAATTAACCAGTGTGAGTCTGCATTCCAGGTGAAAGCTTCCGCTTTTACTCGCTGGCACAGCAGAACAGCAATGAGAGTCAGGGCAGGATAGATACTTTCAGTTGGAATAGACTGTTCGTTCTTGTTTAGGGTCATCCTCTGGCCTGCAGAGCGGAAAAAGGGAGGCTCTTTTCTGCGTTGGCGTGTGCTGTAATCGTACGTCTCATGGCTCACTGCAGCTAGCAGGCGGTGGCTGGCAGTAAATCACTGCGGGGAAGGAGCATACTTTCTTTACTCACTGAAATAAGTGAGGTGGAGAACGGCTGTTGTTGTCTTAGCAAAAAGCGGTATGGAAGTTTTGCCTGCTGTGAGCAGCAGGGCAGAGTCTGGACTTGTTCTGTCAGAGTTTTTCCTTGGAAGACTGGAAGCTTCTGCTTAGCCTTGGATGTAGGTAGGCATACCCAAAGGCTGGAAAGTGAATCTGAAAAAAACTCTCTTTTATGCCAAATCCATTATCACTCTCTATTTGTGATGTCACTAGTTGTTTTAGGTGTCTTTTGAGGAAATAAATAGTTAAAAACAGGATTTAACTATTAAAATACACAGATTTTAACTTGAGAGAGATCAAGGAATGGGCCTTCTGTGCTTTTCCTTTCTGTGAGCCATTGACGGGCATACTCCAGGTCTCTTCTTTATGGGCTACTCATAACATCTTGAAAGTCATGTTTCTCTGCACAAACATGTGCATGCACGAGTGCAGCGCTGGCAAAAAAGGTGAGTTTGCAATCCCTAAAGGGCAAATAATTGCTTTTGCATCACAAGTTTGTCGTGTTCTCAGTGTTGTCCTTTGCACAGAAACAAAGGAGAGCAATCCTCCATGAAAGATGAGAGTAAACGTTGCTGTTTGTTCAGCACGCGGGCCAACGTTGAAAACTGCCCCTCCTGGAAAGCCGTTTTGGCTGCCATTGGGCTGCCTTTGTGCAGGAAGTGGGCTGTGGTGGCTGAGCGACCTGATGGCGGGACAGAGCAGCAGCAGATGGCTGAGCTGAGCTGAGTTTGACACCCACTCCAAGTGAAGTTCTCCCCATGTTCTTTACCAGTTATCTCAGTTGTTCACTCAATGACCTGGTTTTTCATCATCAGGAGAAGATTTTTCTGACACTTCCATATACATGATGCGTCAAATTTCTAACAGTTCTGGGATTTTTTTTCACATCATAGATTTTGGGTGAATTTTACCTACACTTTCTTGGAAAGTGTGTTTCTTCCCTTCTCAGTAAGGGAAGCAAACTGATTAACTCTCTCAATTTCTCGGGGTGGGCGCTGGGCTTTATTTCCCTAACTGCAGGTATGGAGCCATAATTCTCTGTGCAGGAGCAGATGGCTGTTAGTGATGGTGAACAAATTGCTTCTCCAGAGCAGTGTTCCTTCTTAGAATGAGAAAACTGCTTTTCCCTA